CAAAGCAACTGCAACGTCACTTTTATAGAACACGTCTCTACACATGTTTCATCCTCTGGGGTAAGGAGACCTCTACCTACTGACCAACCTGGTATGAGAGGCTCTGTGGATGTTGCGTGTACATTCCCCATTATAAGCTATGGGGGTGTGCGCCGTCATACCGCGGTGGGATCCAGTCTCCTACTACCGGATATATAATGCGGCATAATGTACTACGAGAATGTACCGGAAAAAAATCGACGCACTTGTGGCATTCGACAAATTTTTTCTGAAACTTAAGACACTAACAAGGTATCTATGATGCACGGTTGAGTGATTCGTGTGATAAGTTCAAGAACCATCACAGTATTCGGATGACAACTCCTCATCTTTTCAGGACGTCCTGAATCAGAAAGGGGAGGTGTATGTATCTGGTGACAACCTGAGTCACGGAAAACCAATGTGTCAGACCGTCATCATCAACTGACAGCTGTCCGTCATGTGTGAGCAAGATGACGGAGGTTGACAATACGGGTATCCTGCACGCATAGCATAAACAAACTCCCCGCGTCTAATGGGAGTCTAAACAAACACCAATCAGAGACTTCATGTCTGGGAAGAAATCCCGCATAAATGGGATCAAAAGTTACCTGAAGCATCGAGTTCACGGCCATTTGTGTGTCCTGACGAAATACATTCGGAGATGCGATTAGGCACCCACACCAACCGACAACATCAGTCTTCTGTGCTAGTCGCGGAACATTTTGTTGATTGGTCCTCGGTATGCCTTAAAACATGGCCAGGTTGGTAAATCAATTCCTTGGCTGAAGAGAGTCCTTGTGCAGGGAGCAAGACACCACCTAGCCACAAGCCCAGAATTTTTTTACAAAACCCTTCTGAAACGTGTGGAAAAATCTAGATTCGACTGGTTCATCTTCTGTGGTGGGGTCATACCGAAGAGAAGGAACACTGGGATCGAATTTAGAGGATCGCTTTCTCGTAGAGATGGTAATGAAGTCCGAAAGTTGACCGGAAGAGGTGGATACCGGTGTGCTAGTGTAACGGTGATACTACTGATGGGGGAGCATGTGAGTACCATGTTTTCTTTTTGTAAATTCGCTTTGCGTCTTCTTTGAAAAGGGAGACCTATTGCGGGATTTGTGGAGTCGCTCTGTAGCATCTGCTTGGGTTTGAGCAACAGTCAATGAATATCCAGGATGGGTGGATATTCAGTTTTTTTAAATAAGAGGCATATGAGAGTTTCGCTCCCCTGTTCGATAGTCTTTAACTGTTCAGTTGTTTTCCAATAATTAACTCTGCAGCGAAGGCCTTCTTCCTTGCACTAGTATCCATTCACCTCGTTGTTTCTCATCACACACTCTGACTACAAGAGTACGCTAGTGAGCACGTTTTTAGATGACTCATATTTTTCATAGTATACAAATAAAAGCAGTCTGGCCCAAAGAGGTGGATATGGGTGCGACGGCAGATACTACTGATGAGACATGTGAGTAGTAAGTAGTTTTCTCATAACTCCGCCTCGCATCTAATGGAGTTTATTACGGAACCTGTGAAATTGCTTTACAGCTTTCGTTTACAATTGCGTGATAGTCAATGAATATCCGCGAAAATTCAACAAGACGCTGGAAGATGTTCAGTTTTTAAAAATAAGGTGCATATGAGATATTTACTTTCCTGTCCAATAGTTTGCCACCGTTTAGTTGGTGTTTACTATAGAACAACCCCGCCGCAGACAACTTTCCTCCTTGCATGGGTACGAAAAAGTCACATAGTTCACATAGTTGTAAGGTCGCTGGGTGTGCGGTAATTCCTGGGGATTCCTGCTTACAGACACAGTTTTTTTCGCAGCAGATTTGAAGGTTTGTACTAACGATGGCATGAACCACGATGCATTCATTTCCGTGCTGGTTGTGAAATTCTAACATTCAGTAGGTCGTCCAAAGAACCTACACCCAAGGAGCAAACCCTTTCAAGCAGTGGAGAATCCAGTCTTTCTTCACTATGACAGGTGTCCCTTCTTCGCCTTGTGCATGAGGACCAGTGTAACATGTGTTACTGAAGCCAGGTGTGACTAACAGGTGCACAGTATGTACCGTTCCTTTGTAGTGATGCAAAATATATCAACCAGAGTTTAATCTGCGGTTTCCCGACGTCACTGCACGAATCAAACTCACGTGACAATGCAAGGAGTGAGAACAAGACGAAAGTAACATTACTAAAAAAGTGTTAAATGTCGGTAGCTGGATGTAAGCGAGAAATGATAGCATGCGGTTACGCAACTCATAAAACAGGCAGTCTTACGAAGTAAGGCTTTGTGGTTGAACAACACGTGTGATAAAGGTGATTTGAATACCAACCAATGTTCGTGTCCGGGTTGTATTGTTATTCCAGTCCGATTTTGTCTTCGATTCGTGTCTAATTGAATATTTTCAAAGTTCAATATGTTGGCAGTTTGGATGTGTTTGTCACTTTTTCTCGTTCAGTGTTGATCTGTTCGTCAAGCTTGGCAATTGGCTTGCAAGCATTTTGTCATCAAACCAGGAAGCATAATCGGGTTGGACTGGTGACGAAGCGCTTACAAACCAAATGCCTAGAACGGTTAAAATATTTGAACTGTAGTGGCTCGAATGGGCAAGGTGCTGTGCTTGCTCCAATAGGAGGGCAGACATGTGGATACTATAGAAGCAAGCCTCGAAAATGGAGGTGAAGTAAGGGAATCAGGATGTACAACGTTAATTTCACACCAGAGAGTGGTGTGAAACCAAGGTAAAGTTCATACCTAAAAAATACTTGCATTTCTGTACGAATTCGGTTCACATGGGGGACTCAACTGAATCTCTCGTTTATGCCGCAACACACATTCTGTCAGGAAGCGTTTCGACACGAAAAGTATATGTGCGGATGGCGACGCGTCCCCAAGGTCACCGTCGGTACCCGGATAGCAGGTGCGTTGGCGGAGCTTGTCAAACACGGCTTGGAAGCATACTCCCAGCGGAGTGGGTGTGAACGTGTTCAAGGCAGGCAATTCGCCACTGGTTGGATAGAGCGAACACGTGAACGACCGTAATGGCCATTTAGCCATCCTATATATTTACGCAGAGGCTTTGTATGTTTGTCCTGGGTTCCCCGGCTTTCCTTTATTGCGTGGTCTGGCAGGCTTAGGTCAGCAGTAACCGATAGACGGTCATTCACGACACAACACATTACTCGTATAGTTTCGACAGCACACGAAATAATCCGCCGTTCTGCTTCGTGCTCATCGAGTAGGCTCTACCCCGAATTCCCACTGGCCTCATGTTCTAATTAAACATGAACTGGAGAGATTTCGGCAAATGCTGTCATTTGCACACGAATTTGGTTTTGGTAAGAGACTGCGCTGAATCCAGCCGCATCTCCCGTTCACAAAGGTCCGCGCTAAGAAGGGCGAAATCGGTTGTGAGCTGTCGAAGAGTTTTCAGCCAACTTGTGAGTAGTGCTGTGATGAACATGACTGATACTCTATTCGTTGCTCTATTCATTATTCTCCTGTTTTAATATTCCATATGCTGTACATATTCACCAATTCGAATACATACGTACTTGTTGTTACGCTTCGCTGAATTCTGGATTTCTAGTTTGTCGGGTTGTACCGATCTACGTACGTAACTTAATTCTCACAGTGTCCCTCAACCTTTGCACGCACTGGTGCGTATAACCGATGGGTAGATTGGTTGAATTCGTCAAACTTCCTGACCGCCTCGTACTTGCAGATATCATCAAATTTTCCTGGAAGAATTTGGACCTTCCTTGATCCTCTTCTACCGGAATCAAGGATGGCGGATAGTGTTCCCAAGTATCACGTTAGGTTCCTTCTCTAGGCACACAGTGTTCTTCCAGTCTGTCCAACACAAAAAACGCCATAGTTGATACAACCGACTCAGTTTCTTCGGCTCGTGTTGGACTCTTTCGTTCTTGAAATCAAACCACGCAGAGTAGCGATCGATTCATGAGTTATCATGATTATTCGTTGATTGTATAACGTCGATGAATTTGGATATGTTTTCGATGTAGAGAAAGACTATACATTTGTTTGTCTGTTCCCCGTGTAATTGCTGCTGTCCAACCAGTTTCTACTTCAAGTTTTTCATGACAAAATCGTTTTGATATCCATCGCTTTGGAGCACTCCGTGTAAGCCATCTTTCTCTGTCAACACTGCAGTGTTGCAAATCATCCCTACCCTCCATAACTTTGTGAATACAACTCACATGATTGCTCTGTGGTTACTGATATAGTTAAGTAGTTGACGTCTTTTTTACGTACGCACTCCAACAGAAGATCCTGTATGAGGGTCAAGAATGCTTCGGTGGTTGTAACTCACAGATCGAAGAAACTTAAAGTGCCCACTGAGGTTAACCAAGTGACCTACAACAGGCTACCACGAACGAACAATTGGCTACCCCCAGACTCGGAGTCCTCTTCAAAGCTTGCAATCAGCAAAAACCGGGACAAGCGAGGTCCTTCAAGTATGGATTCTCTTCAGCAAAATTCTGTGTTGACAGTGGTCTACCGCACTTGAAAATCACCGAAAGGTAGGTTCACTTTGCGGCATATAAAACCAACTCATCGATCACTGTCCACAAGTTCTGCTACAAGATCTCTGTTCACACTCATCGGTTTCAGGGCGTTGATCGGTCTGCTCGCAAGCGTTTCGGGGCAAACCCGTATGTTGTCTAACTACACTGATAGAGAGTAAGGGGCCTAGAAACGTGCCTGCTATTCCTGTAATCGATGAAAGTGGGATTACTCCCAACCAATTGTCCAATGTAGAAACCTTCTGATACGTTCCGCTGAATTCACGTGTTTGGAGTAGAACTTTCAAGTTTGGATTGCGCCTCATTATTATGTTCTACTTGAACCCAAATTGGACTGTTTTTGAGAAACGCACTCATCTGCGCCTACCTGATGAGCCCCGAGAAGGGCAAAACCGGTCGTGGGCTGTCGAAGAGTTTTCAGAAACTTTGTGAGTAATTTCCTTCATGAAAATATACTGTGATATCTCGAATATCGTGTCAACTGAATCATGAGGCGGCCTGTGTGCAGCACCTTCAGTTGAAGGTTACCGTAAACGAGATATTCAGTTGAGTCTCTCTTGAAAACCAAATTGATTTGCAAATGAGTGTTTTTTCTCGAGAAGAGAGGTAAAGCCATTAATGGACTGTCGAAGATGTTTCAGCAACTTTACAAGTGGTATGTTATGAAAAGTGGGGCTGCTGACTTATATGAACTGTCAAGGAACACTTGGCTTCTACAACGTGTAAGGACGTGTAAGGCCGTCAAGACACCAATTAATTGGAGGTACGAACCTACAGATGAAATCTCAGCTCATCGATCGATTTGTATGTGTGAGCTAACTGTGACCTTGCAGTTTTGCTTCCGTTGATGAGCAATGTAATCCCCACGCTTTACATTTAGAAACTGCACCCGAACTGATAGTTTAGCCCTCACAGCGTCAGTCGGATGCAGTTCACACTTTCTTTCGACCTTGTAACTCCACCCCAGTTGATGGAAAGTGCATATTAGTCACTGACTGCCTGTGGCCATTTTGCTCGTTTAGCACAGGGTGAGGTCAGATGTAATAACAGTGGTTAGTTGGATGTCTGCAGTTTACTTGCATAGCGAACGGCCCTATGCCCGGTTCATGGGCTAACTTCGAATCCTGTTTGCCAGGTCTTCAAAGGATAGGAGTACTTTTGCTACTCATTTAGCCGGTGTTCTTGGATAATGCGAAGGGCACTTAGAAGCCCAGTTTTTCGGTTCAAACACTCTTGGAGGTGGTTCAAGGAATTTAGTACAAAAAAATAGTATCCACTGCTAAAGAATCACCTCAAGGTAATCCGTAAACCGCCTCTTGGCGGAGCGCTTCTTCTTGGGAGGTTAAGAAGTGGATTTCATTTATGTGGATATTCGTCCTGATCAGTGAAAATTCCGTCTGAGAAGTCTTTGCTCGAAGAGCCAGTCAACACGTCTGACCGAGTGACGTGTATCCCGTGATTGAATGATGAGCTGCGCCATACCCTGGCCGAAAGGTTAAGTATTTAAACTACTAGCCAGGAGGTCGCGGGTTCGTGCTCTGCGGGGTTTCGTGAGATGCGCACTGCTGATGATTCCCAATAAGGATGAAACAGCTGTAATCACTGCTTCTCAGCTTTGAGTATAGATCGTCTTCACTTACAGGACGAAATCTCCACAAAAATTCCCGGATCTCCTCACATCTCCAACGAGTTTCTTTCACATACCGCTACTTCAAATAACATTCGTGAGTGAGCAATACAACTACACGTTTCACCTTAATCGCCTACACAGGTGCGTACTGATGAACCCGTGTAATTCTCGTCAGTCGGTCTCACCTGGGCCATTTTGAATGCTCGTTTGTTCCTCATCACACCAAACTCTAGTTGAAATCATGAAACAAGACGGTTTATGTAAATGATCTGTTGTCGCGTAGCAGCTCCAACTCGCTTGGAACTCGAAGATGAATGGTCCAGTCTAACATTCAAATCTACTGCCTTAAACACGTAGTTCAAAGTGAAGTGCTCCGGTGAATGATGCTGTGAGCCTACACTTTCAATCAACATTTTAAAATCAAAACACATCGTAGTAAGATAAAATGCCAAACTCTGATGTTTCGGTCGCTGTGGGTGCCTTTTTTTGAGGGTTCCTGCTCTAACAGTTCGAATCTTTTCCAGATAAGCTCCACTACAAATGCAAAAAGTGCATATGTGAAAAGTTAAGCCCCGCCACTTTTTGCTAGCTCACACACAACCTTGACCTATTTTTGATGAAAACACTTCCCCATCCGTATCCAGGCTCATTTTGTGCAAACATTTTCTCCCTTCCGACGTAAAACCTCAAATGAACTTTATGACGCTTTCAAGTCTTGTTCATGACAAGGAGACGGCAATACGTTTTTTGCAACGCCACGGAGTGATCCAACAGCAACGTTTATGCAACAATGGTCGGCCCACCAAATGACACTTCAACTGTTTCTGACAGGTGGAGGTGTAATGCCCGACAGTGTCCGCCAAAAATCGGTCTTCGAAAGGGAATCTGCAGGGAAACTAAAAAGGTGTTCATGTATGCAGTGCCAGATCGAACTGCAGTCACTTTGATGGACACAATCCAGGCCTGCATTGCTCCCGCCTCAATCATCATTTCCGATCTGTGGGCATCATACCAAGGAATTGAAACGATGATTGACAAATTATACTCATGGAACGGTTAATCATACCGAAAACCATGTAGACCCAACGACTGGAGCTCACACACAAACCGTCGAATTTCTTTGGCACGTCTACAAGATGCAGAATAAACGTCAATGCGGTACACATCGATCTCTAGTGGATAGCTACGTGTGTCAGTTCGTCTGGAGGCAAAGGTACCGAAAAACGTACCTTTTCATGTAAATTATTAATGACATGTCCCAATATGACCCTCTTCAATAAAAACTAAAAGTACAAATTTCATGTCCTCTTCTAACCTTTTTTGGGTGGCGGGGGTTAACTTTTGGTGGGGCTTATCCGGAGAAGACCCCACAGTTCAATGTTGTGATGGGTTAGCTGTGGTAGTCAAGCGTTCAACTTTTGTTGATGATGTGGGTCAGTCCCATCTGTGCCCTTCCAGCTGAGAAATAAGTTCTGCGACTGGAGGAGCCTTAGAGTACATTCTTGTTGGTGATTTGTTGTCCTCCCTTGAGCATCTGCGGGGGTTATTGGTGGGGCTTATCCGGAGAAGACCCCACAGTTCAATGTTGTGATGGGTTAGCTGTGGTAGTCAAGCGTTCAACTTTTGTTGATGATGTGGGTCAGTCCCATCTGTGCCCTTCCAGCTGAGAAATAAGTTCTGCGACTGGAGGAGCCTTAGAGTACATTCTTGTTGGTGATTTGTTGTCCTCCCTTGAGCATCTCTTCCAGGTTCTCTATCTTCGTAGTAGAGTTCCGCCTCAGAGACACAGAAACAGCTTTACCAGTTCCCACTTTTTTTCACAATATGGCGATATCATCTGCTCTTTGTCTATGTGGTTGTCCCTTCTTTTAAAAGTCCGT